GGGGGTGATGGAATGAGGATGTGGATGTCATGCTGAAAACATTGTCACCGATTTCACGACATGTAATCTTCGGCTTCATATCATTGTCATCGGTTTCAAAACATTGTCATTGATAAGTCATGTGATTAAAATGGGGTGCGGGGGTGGGGGGGGTTGTGATGGAATGAGGATGTGGATGTCATGCTGAGAACATTGTCATCGATTTCACGACAAGTAATCTTCGGTTTCATAGCATTGTCATCGGTTTCATAACATTGTCATCGATTAGTCGTGTGATTCGCGGATGGCAGTGGCGTTGGGAAAACACCACGTGTACTAACTTGTGCAAAAAAACTGCGCAAGTCTACTTGAGACAGGACGCATGAAAGTTGAGGACAGCCTGGGACAAAAACGGCGACGGATTTTGCGCTGGCGCTTGGGTTTCGGCAGATTCGGCTTTAAAAATGAAAGGGTCCGGGACCCCCAAAAACATCATCGAACAAGCAAAAGTACTGGGAGGGCTTGCACTTTTGAATCACAATTTGCACGACTACACGTGCGATTCCACACCCGGCGGGTTTTTGTTTAAGTTATAATCACAATTTAGTGTTTGCGCTCCAGGGCAGCAACAGTCACTCCAAAAGTGGCCTGTGCTGACATATGCTGCACATCGTAAAGCGCACACACGCAGCACCATGCACTACTGGCTGAGAAGAAGAGTCCAAGCTGTCAGGAGATCCGGAACCAGTTCTACGTTTTTGGGGAGATCCGTAGCATCCGAATGGCCCCGAAGCAGAGCTGCGCCTTTGTGACCTTTGTGAAGCGAGAGGTGGCCGAGCAGGCGGCCAAGAATCTTGGACATTGATCTATTTTGTCGCAATTTTTAGGTGCCTGGCGTTTGTGTTTTTGTCTTTTGTTTTGTTGCATCGGCTGTTGTTCGATGTGTGTTTTCTTAAGTGTTGTTCTATAATTATATACTTGCACTTTGCTATCATTTGCTGATGTTAATTTCAATGTTTTAGTTTTTTGACCACTAGTTCTTCCTCATTGATGTGGCTACTGCTGCTGTTGACCACTTTTTCGGACGCTATATTGGGACACCAAAAGAAGCCTGTGGAGATTTCTTAGTCTTAGTCTTAGTCATTTCATTATATCTATATCCTTTTGGCACGTCTAAGGAACACCCACAAGATCTTGAAGATCAACGGCAAGTCAATCCACGTGACCTGGGGCAGACCTCAGGTGGGAACATCGCCAACGCCGGTCTTGATGGCTTTGCAGCTTTTTGATTTATAGTATATATTATATAATCAAAGGATGTATAAGTGCAAAGGATAGCAGAGGGATGCAATCATAATCATAATCAAGTATGATGGCACAGCTCCTGTGAAGTTGTTTCAGCAGATCACCCTTCCTTCCAAGTCTATTCTTGAGAGTTTCAGCATCTCGGGCTCCTTCCTCTCATTGAATTGAGTCTAAGAGTCTAGGGGTGGTGCAGTTGAACATACCCCATCCCATCCCAATACTCTAATAAAGCAGAAGTTTGTCACCGGGTGATCAGTGTGGATTTGCCCTACAGTAATGCTTTCGTGGAAGCCTAAGCCTTGTCGATTGGGGCGTTCGAGCCTTCAAAACCCTCGGAACCTCTGCTGCTTCAGGTGAACAAAGAAAAGGAGGCGGCTGCTGCCATGGCCACCGGCTCCGCTGCTCCGGCGCAGGACGGGAGAGGGCTGGTGAGGGTGGCAGCTAGAAGAAGTTAGACTTGGGAGATTGGAAGAAAAAGGAAGGCTTGACCCACACTGAGCCAAAATAGTGCACATCAGCATGTTTTAAAGGACTTGTTGGGAATTTCTATTAATTTCCAACATGTTGCAGGCCACCATTGTTTTGCATGAAAGATATCCCAGTTCGGCCACTGGAATTACCTGCGGCCTGGGAATTGCCAAAGTATTTTGTGAATTTTGTCATGCATTTTAGTTGCGAATCCAAATCGAATGCCCGGTTCATTTAGAAACCCGTGGCAGTCCTCGAGCGGTCCATTCATGTCCCCTCAATGAGCATGTTTTGGCGCCTGGCCGGTGCTCCCTAGAGCAAAACTGCTGGGGCCGGAGGCCTATGATGTTTCAGTTCCATGGTTGGAGGGAGTTCAATGATTGGAGCGAGTGTATGTGATTATTGGTTTCTTTACTGTCAATCTATGAGTGGAGCTTCAAGACTGGAGCATTGACAGTCTGACAGAGATCCCACCCGAAAGGATTTCAATACACCCAACGAGACGTTTGTTGCCTTAGCGACCCCAAGTGTTTGTGCTTGTCCTTCCGGGCTTGCCAAGCATGGTTGGTGGAATTTGAGACGAGAGTCCTTAAGCAGTTATAAGCAGAATGGGACCCTGAATGATCCAAACACCATTGAACTCCAGGGTTTCGACTGTGACGGCCTATGCCTATCGTTTCCTCGTTTCCGTGCTCCCGACAGGACACCTATCGACCCTACTATCCCTCCATGGATCCATCCGCTCAAGGAAACGCCCCACTACAGGGGGAGCGACCCGATGAGCGTTCGATCCCCAAGTGACTCGACGGTGAATGTGAAGATCTTTTGGAAGTTGGAACCTTCCTTTTGCGTTTTTGAAGCTCCTTAAAGATCATGTGCTTTTTTAAGCTCGAAAACAACAAGCACATAAGAGCAATTTCCATAGATTTCCATAGGTTTCCTGATTGTCCAGTCCATGGTTTGCTGGCGGTTCTTTATCGGAGCTGTTTGGCGGCCATGTGAGTCTTCCCCTATAAAAGATGTAACAGCTCGACTCAACCTGCGAGGTAATTTCATGATGCCCACCAAGACCATCGTCGTCCTCGTGGGTGAAAAGGAATAAAGAAAGGCAGACACAACCTGAGCGCGACAGATGCCAATTGCCGCTACTTTGCACTTGTACAGTGAGTAATTCTCGCTGTAGGGCCTGATTCACGAACATATCAAGGCAGACAAAAGGGTGTGGCTGGACTCTGCGGCTGGTTCCGGGTGAAATGCAGTTGCAGTGGCAAAGAGCTTTTGGATGTTTTTGGTGGGTTTGGTAACTGGCCGAAACAGACTGTGGTTGTAATGCATTGCATGCCCACATGCAGGATGCTTGTGCCTGCATTGTTGACGTGAGCAGGAATCTTCTTGTTGTGTCCGCGCTGCTCGGGGTGCCTCAAAGTTTGTTCGGCAAAGCATGGAAGAGCGGTCGGTTGGTTGTTCAGGACGTTTGTCAACTTTTCAGATTGCTCATCAATATTGACTGTTGATTGATAACATTTGATCATCCTCTCAGAGATTCAGAGCCAGGATTTTGGGCCAGGATGGTCAAAATCCTCCATGCAGGGGAGGGTGTTGTCAACAACATTGAGTTGAGCCCGTGACACAGCTATCCAACCGTGCATCCAAGGATGCCATGTGTGAAAGCACAAGTGATCTCCTGCAACGCGGCAATGAGCGCATGCGAAGAAGCGGGTCAGTGGCGTGCAGCGGGAGAGTTGCTGGACTGCCCTTTTTGAATGTCAGTCCATGTGTTTGCTGTTATCCTAGGCCCTAGGCGCCCTAGCCACTGTGACAGATTACACCTCACACACACACATATATATATATATACACATGTATGTATATATATATACAAATATTATATAATATATATATATATCATTTTGGGTTACAGACCCTATGTAGCACTCATCATCATCTACCTTTACAGCGGTTTGGATGATTTTTGGGGGGTTCAAGTTCGCACGAAGAACATCTCCCATCCCGGTACCCTGGTGAGTGTGACCCTCTTTCGCTTCCCCACCCTGGCAGGATGCCATGCATTGTGGTGGCCTCTCGAGCGACTTGCCCCTGGGATTCGGCAGTCAATGTGACAAGCAAGGTTGGTGCCATAAAGGCAAAGCCGTACGCGGCATGCTTTATCATTCAGATGTTTGTGATGAAAATTCAATTTTCAAATTACTGTAGCATCTTTCACAACTGCGGGCGACCACATACGCTGCCACAGCTGGCTTGATAAGCCCTCATCACCTAGAAAAGGTGTGTCATCCATCACAAGACGGTTTGGACGCCCAGCGGTGAGCTGAGCCCTGGATGTTGCTCCTAGTAGCTTCTTGTTACTAGTAGTAGGGCCAGGAGCCCCTACTAGCGTCCTTGCTCTTTTGTTCTACTTTCAGATTCCCAAGGTTCAGCTGCAACACGCTCATCAGCGCATGTGAGAAAGCGAAATGTTGGCCGCACGCCCTCCACATCTTCGCGCAGAATGTCGGGCGTCAGTCGTTCCGGAAGTCTTTGGTTACCTTCAATGCCGCGGGCAGTGCCTGTTCAAAAGGAAAGCGATGGCAGCGTAGTGTGCAACTTAGCTCATGTTGGCATCGGTGCCGTTCTTTTTTTCCGGTGAAGAGAGCCAAAGTAGATCCTGAAAAGAGATTCCTGGTAGGTTTTTTGTTTGGTACATATACGTACTACCCATCAGCTCGCACAGCAGTGGCAGCGACACTAGAACTTCAAATCAAAGGGCCTATGTGGTGGAGGGGAATTGAATAGTCCGCACGGATAGATTGACTAAACTTCCCAAGCATGTCCAAACACGCCAAGAACTTTTGGGGCCAAGAATTGTCACAATCACTGTGACAGTACTGTACTACTGTTGATGGGTGAACTCCTGCACTGCATGCTTTCAAGACCTTGGCATATGTACGGTTGCATACATTTGTATTTACTGTGTTTTGAGGGTTTCGGGTGGTGCGTATTGCTCTCCCATGAAGGTTGATATCCTGTGGAAGCTGACATGACCGTCCCAAAAACCGATCAAGGCAGCTCATCTCCCAGCTCCACGAGGAGAACGGTGGACATTGGGACCGGGGACTTCTTTGTGTTTCAAGGCTTGGTCCATTTCGGTGTGTCAGCTCCAGTTATGTAGGCCAAAACGTGTCAGGATTTTTACAGTTTGTGAGACTGTGACCCACAAGGCCTGCAAGTGTGGACTCTGTTCCTTTTGGAGTTGTTTTTTTGATGGATTTTGGCAGTATATGGAGGCATCGCTGTTTCCAGCTGCAAAAATTGCCACAAGGCAGCCTTCCCCAAATGGGCATGGTACGATGCCAAAACTGCTACGGCCTCAAACATCTAGATGATCGTTGACGTTTTGGTTCGGTTGTGCTATTGATTCATGTGGTAAGACTGGAAGAAAGTGTCACAACCTGTGGAGCAATATCCCGATACGCATATTTAAACAGTCAGTTCTAAACTATGTATGCTTTGACGGCCCCCGTAACTTAAGGAGAACCCCCACTTCAAGGCCTTCCTCCCACAGCGCCGGCTCAAGCTGGGAATGTGGGGGCACACCGCGACGTGCTAGACCTCTAGGCCTGTAGATCTCGACCTCCAGACCTTGAGACCTCTAGGTTTCTAGGCTTCCACCCTATAGAGCTCCAAGACCTCTAGAACCCTACTAGACCTAGGTCTCCTCTGGATGTCTAGGAGATCTCTAGACCTCTAGATCTCTGGCCTCCTTATCTCTCTAGATGTCTAGGCGTTTAGATTTAGATCTTTCTAGACCTCTCTGCTGGATTTCAAGACCTCTCTGGATCTCTAGACCACTGGACCACTAGATCTCTATGGAGCACGATACGTTTGGATCTCCAGACCTTCTGCTTCCACACCTCTAGACCTTAGACCTCTAGACCTCAAAACACTATTTGGGATCTCTTGCCGGTATATATATATATATATATTTTTGTTTTTGCAGTCAAGAGCTGAAACCAAGGGAGGGCTCATGTTCAACCAGCTTTGCATCCATTGCTTCCATATAATATGCTTCTATACAGTGCCCTTGGCAGAGACAGGAGCGACTCGAGCCCAGCCAAATCTCGTTCAATGCTCTTGCGTTCTGTCGCTCGATCGCAGGTCAGATCGGATAGGTTTGCGAGCGTTTATGCCGATGACAGAAGTTTGCTACAGAGGGGCTTACTTGGCGGTGTGTGATGGATTGAGAATGATTGAGATATTCGGGTGTTGGTAGTTGTTACATTGGGATTGCAGGAGTTCATTGGCAATTGTTTTACATGTTGTTCATTCAATCCGATGTTGGAATTTGTGCTATCGGTAGAGGCAATGCCCATCAGAAATATGGCATGTTGCCTGTTTTTTCTAGCAATGTTGTTTGTTGTTCCAAAGTGTTCGTCGCCGAACCGCCATGCAGTGCTCAAGTCAGTCGACAAATTCATCGTTGCTCCCATCGCGGTCCCGCTTGAAATGTCGACCCACGAAATGTCAACCTTCAAGATGGTGTACTATGTGCTGTGCATCACCGGTTCTGTGCGTGCCAAATTTCAAGTTGGTCAGGGGTATTCTTCACAGGCAAGGCGCAGAGTCTTATGGCTGATGGGGTGGCTTGGCGCTGCCAGCATCTTCCAAATCAAAGCCCCCATGGTTGCAGTAACCATCGCAAACCATCTTCAAGAAGTACAACAAAAATTGAATTGGAATGGTGGTTTGATCGTGTCCGTCTTTGGAATCATCATCACTCGCTGCTTTCAACCTTTCATGTTCTTGCTTGGGGTCATTGTGGGGCCTTTCTTTGAAAGGATTGAAGAGCGATCCCTATTGGTGGATTTGACAGTAACAGTTGAAATCATAGCATGGTTCTACGTTCCCTGTCTAGTCGGAGATGGGATGGTCCTACTGCTTTGTGACTTTATGCACTTTGGCATTTGGCTTGCACAGTTTGTTATCCGGGGCGTTGCTTCGCTAATTCACCTGCTCATAGCGGCCCTCAACTTCCCTCGGTTTGCATTGTGTGTGGCCAACCTTGTGGCATGGCTTGACCGGCGTGCGCCGGGATTGATCACGTATGGCAGAGATTGTGCACAGAGGGCAATTTGGAAGAGTATGTGCTGGTGCTTTGCTAGGTTGCGAAAAGTTGACAATGCTGTTATGATGCTGGGCATTCGTCCACATGAGTGGGCCAACCTTGGTTTGTCTGTTCTCGTGTCGTTGCGTATTCAGTTTGAGCAAAAATGTGTTCGCAAGACGCAGGGCCTACTCTTCTGGGAATATTGGCAATGGACGACAGAGTATTGTGAACCGTGGACTGCGAAGGACTGGTGGGTATCGCTCAATTGGTCTGTTTGGCTCACGCTGCTTCGCATGGTTTATGAGTTCACAGGGGATTCACCGGAGACACGGGCAAAGAAGGAGGCTGCAGAATGGCTAGCAGTCATTTTGGGAAGATGCGTGCAGAAGTGCTTTCAATGGTGCGGACGCCTTCTCCTATTTGTGGACAGGTGGCCCACTATTTGGTTCGTTGCACATGGTTTTCTTGCCTTCGTTTTGGTAGTCATAGGTGTTGATATCTATAGAATCTATTGTGTGCTTTTGCCCGCTTGTGTATTGGCTTTGGTTTCCCCTATCTTCGTTGCAATTAACATATGCCAAGAGGAATTGAAAGGAGGTATGTAACCTCGGCTGGTTCCCCAACCTTTGGGGCCCACAGTTTTGAGATGTTTTGAGCATCCTACAGTGCTACAGTGCTTCTTTTGCCATGCAGCCTGCTGGACTATGCATCGCGCTATCTAGGCGAACAGGACAGCAGACTGGGGCAAAGAAGAGTGCTATTGACTAGACGAGAGATCCGGGCGAAACAAAAGTCAGCCTTTGCCATGCACCGCTTTGGTTTATTGAGTAAGGGCCCAAGAGTGTTGCATGTGAATCATGGTGGATTGCTTTTTATATCATGTTTTATCATTCTGCGACGTGTTCTTTCTTCCACTTTGAGGCGCAGAAGAAGGAAATCGATTCGATATCCAATTACCGTAATTAGGCACCTTCTTCCGAAAGACCCCCAGCCCATGTGCATCTACAACTGGGAAGGACAGTTGCACAACCTGCCAAGAATAGACACACACAAACAAAGTGAGACGAATATTCAGACAAGTCGGAAGAGGTTGCAGTCGCCCAACTAAGGATTCCTGAATAATGCAGGTGGTACCCAATCGAGTATGATTAAAGGAGTACAAAGTCCAAAGATGCCCTTTACAGAAGCACATGACCACCACAACAATGGGGATTTCTCTTTGCCTTCCATCCAGTCCATCAATCCATCGTCGGTTGACAAGCAGAGCGGTTCCAAAACGCAGAACGCATGTCTCTAGATTGTGGATGGCCACAAACTGCGTCAGCCAAGAAACCTTAGAAGGCTGCACCTGGCAAGAACATTTAGTTTAGAAGTACTCAACGCATTGGAAATCCAGCCAACAAACCTCAGAAGGACTGATGGTTTGGAAAGGGTGGTGCAGAATTGTACTATGACTCCGACCCAACAGTAAAATTGAAAAGTCCTCTTGCTTTCGTTGTTGCAAGAATTCTTGGGGGGCGGGGCCAGGCCATGGGCCATTGCCCACTTCCATTGATGTGTTCGGTGTATCTCAGGTCTTTCTCACTGGCATGTGGCCTTGGATCTACTTTGCCACAGCCCTGATCTCACAATGTGCGAACTTGCTGCGTGGCGCGGCAGAAGGGCTAGAAAGCAGCAGGATAGGAATCGGTCCAGAATGGAGATGTTTGTCCAACGGTTGTCATGTGCAAGTGTTGGTATTTCATCATGTTCCTGGGGTCATGTGACTGATATTTCCGCTTGAGGGGTAGATCCGTATAGGATTTGTGATTGCTGGAACATATAAGGAGAACTATGGCAAGTAGTGTCATACGACCTTAGCCGTGTGCTGAATCCTGGCTACATTCCCAACTTCGATGTGCTAAAAGCATTCCCTTTGTGAAATTGCAGTAGGGAGGTCCCTAAATTGAACTTGTCTCAGGAAGAGGGAACCTCGAAAGTCCCCTTCAAGGATCTTGGCAACAGAGAAAAGATGAGAAAAGTCTTGACACGGGATTCTCGGTGCCAGACCAATTCCTTTGCAGTTGGTGTAGCCAGGAACGCATGTGAAGATGCACGGCGCGGAACTGAGCTGCTTTATGTTTTGGACTTGGCATCAAGTCTTGCAGCGGGGCACAGCGCGGCATGGAGCATGGAGCGCAGGCAGAGATTAAAAAAGGATCGCCTGAGCTGTCGGGGAGGTGCTCAAGTTGCCCAACAGCAGTCCTGCCGGACAAACACCAAGTCAGATTCTTGCGGAGCAACTCAGCATTTGGATTGCAGCGTAGGTGGGGAATGGCGTCGCGCTTCCAGAATCAAACTCCCAGGGGCCAATGAAAATGGCTCCGGGCCTCGAGAGTGTTCGGTAACATCGTGTGCAACACGCGCACGTCAAATTTGCAGAGGAAGGGTTCCACAAGAGGTGTGTAAGGTTGAAATGGCGGCCTGCAAAGGTGTGCGAGATTGGAATGGCTCCTCAATTGATGTTCTCAAACTGTAAGGTCTTCCTGCGGGTAATTGTTGAACTTCGAGCTGGAATTCAGTCACTCAGGGATTTCTTTTGGGGGTTGCGGTTTAGGGCTTGTGGTTATCAGGGTTCCTTGTGTTTGGGTGGCGTGTCTTGGGTATGAAAAAGCTGGAGGGTGCAGCGAGACCAAGCAAGAACTTTCTTGATGTCCGCGTATCTTCCCGGCACTGAAGGGGTTACTCTTGCTCAGGTTCCTGTTGCTTTGGGGTCGCTCGGTTTCTTGGCTGCTGTTTTGGCTTTTGGTTTTGTTGCGTGTTTGGCCGGCCGGGCTTGGCTGTGGGGAGGAGAGCCTATCGCCTCCAGCGCCCAACTCCCTTGCAGATGCTTACATCAACTCACTCGCCCGCATGCGGACAACACCTGACCCCAGAGGTCTAATATTGAAGCTGATTTCAAAGCTTGCGTCACTGTCACTTTGCCTCACTTGCGCAGGTGTGTTGCAAGGGGCATGCCTCAGGTTTTCCATGGCTGAAAGGCTGGAAGGTACCTGGCTCGTTCCCGCTCTAAATGTTACCCTTGGGTGGCCTGCGATGCAAGAGCAAGGTTGAAATATGTTGGAATGGCTTTGCCATGCTTTGCCTGCTTCCTGTGCTTGGGTCGCCCACAAAGAGGTGTGGTGTAAGGTCGGAGTCGTCCCTAGTGCTCTAACTTTTGCTTCGGCTGGCCAACAAAAGGCGTGCAAGGCTGGTTATGTAAAACGATTCCGCCCGGGCGGTGGACAGAATGTGTTCGAGTTTGAATTGGCTTCAGTTTCTTACTGCTCCAAATGTTATGTTCACAAGGTGTGTAAGGTTGGAATGCTTCCCTTAAAGCACTAAACAACATTTATTTGATGTTTGCAAGCTGTTGGTCGTTAATACACCCTGCAGAATCGGTTGATCACAAGACCCTTTCCTACTTGACGCCCGCTTGTGACTGACAAGATTCTTTGCAGCCCCTCTTGGATACAAAGTGCCCAACGTGTAGTAGCCATCTCACCGTACAGACAAGCTTCTAAAGACTGTGCGTCCTTGGCAGGACGACCGAGTTGAATCGCTTACAAACTCCTTCATTCTTTGTGGACGGGAAGTATTACCACGTCATATGGAACTCGGGCCCGGTCCAGATACCAACTTTTTTGCGATTGTACCCCGGCTTTGGTTTGCGTTTGTTGCTGTTTCATGCTTTTTCCGCTCAAGCCTCTCCTGGCTCTCTTTTGAGAGAGGCAAAGAAGGACAGGCTCCACATGTCGATCAACTTGTCAACTGGCGTCAGTACGCAGAAATAATATTTATTCTGGTGGCGTTGAAATAAAAAGACCGATTGCATTGTTTGGCAGATCCTCAAAAGTCCAATACATATACTGAAGTGTGATAGCTTTGAGGAGGCCTTAAACATGAGTTGCGAAGAGACTCAGTAGCGTATTTTCAGAGGATCACATCAACATCGCAATGCTTGCACGGCTGTAGGTCGCTCTCTTTTCTCAATTTTTCCTTCATGGCGCCCAAGCTGATCTCTGCCAACACCACCACGTTCTCCCACACTTTTTGTGCGGAGAACCCTAAGAAGCTGGATGAGGTCTACACCATGGAAAAGATGCCCGGCATATTCATTTCATGTCATTTCCCATTGTTTTTCTGTGACAGTTGCTCAACCTACTCTAACAAAAGGTTGTAAACACTAACTGTCCTGGCAGTTTGATGGGAAGAGACCCACATGGACCAACCGATCTGGACCAATGACATGCCAACCCGAATTTCTAGTTGAATCAGGTCCCGTTTGGTTGGTTCGTGCTGGCGAAACAAAAAAGGAGAGGGAAGCAACCCTGCGACAGACGGCTACCATAAGCAAATGTGCCAACCTTCCCTGCTAAATCAGAACAACCACTGCTCGGCACATTCATGTTTGAACGAATGACATTCAAGGGTGGGGCGACTTTGTACTGGAGCGGTGTAGCTTTCTTGGACGGCCGACCTTTGTAACATGACCCTCACCAGTTCTCTTGGCAGACGGTGAACTCGCGGTCGCAAGGGTCCGGTGTGCTAAGGAAGCCCTTGGGCGAGGGCTCTTACGGTCAAGTGACCAAGGGCATCCACAAAGATTCTGACCTGCATTGAAGAGATTTTGTACTGTGCGTATAGTTGTGTAATATAGTATTTGCATAGTGTTTTGTTTTGTTTTCTTCTCTTCAGGTGGTTTTGGACTGCACAACCAGTTCTTAGCTTCGTTGGGCTTCCTAAGCTGTCTCGGACCATGCACCGTCTCACTTCTCTGGAACCACCGAGGACACCGGCGCTGTGAGGGCCATCAAAGCGATCAACCGGCACAAGATCTCGGACCATGGACGTTTTCAAGTCGAGGCGGGCCTGTTGCGTGGCGGTTCCGGAGACACATCGATGGTAGATCGATGTGGCTGGTGTTTGGGAGCTTGTGATGATACATGCACATATATAATAATATATCGCATTTTGTTTGGTATATGTAGATTGTTTTTGGTAATACTTAATATATGTGCATGCCAGCGGGTATGTGTAATTAACACTCTATATGATATATTTCTTAGAGAGAAATATATGTACATGGATGAAACATGTCATGGATGAAACATGGTGGATCCATTTGTTACATCGGATAGCTTTTTGGTTGCTGGCCATGACACCTCCAATGAAGAGGTTTGACACTTGATGCCGCTGGACAGGGGCTGGACGGGGTTAATAGATGTTAGTAGAGCACACAACAGCAAAACACGTCACGAGTCAAAACGACACCCGTTCGGCCTGTAGGTTATAGGCTACCTATTCTGAACTGTTGGGTCGAGGCTATTCTGAACTGTTGGGTCGAGGTTCGTGCCCTAATAGACATGTTCGACTGATGTTCTGCCCGCATAATATCATCTTCACCCTTAGCCTGCCATACCTATGCGTTTCATGGTGAAGATCACCTAGCTGATTCTGGCCCAGGTGGACATTCAGTCCTCACTTGACCATCCCAACATCGTGAAGCTCTACGAAGTCTTTCAGGACGCCAAGCGATTCTACCTCGTGATGGAGCTATGTACAGGTGGAGAGCTTTTTGAACGGCGCCTTGGGCCAGGATTGGGAAAGACGGGCATTGAATTAATTACCAGAAAGCCTGAACAGTTCGGTATAAGAGTCCAATTTGACAAATTGTTCAGTGCTTAGAGCTTCACATCGATCACTTGCCAGCCTGCCAAAATCCGCCCGTGGTCAGTGGGGTTCCCACCCCCCGGCTGAGGATCGTGGCGGAGTCGGAGAAGCATGACGGGGCCCGGGCGTTTGATGAACGTGGGGCTGCGACCTACATGCAGCAGCTCAGCCCAATTTGTGAAGTCCAAAATTCAGGGCCCAAATCTGGGCTTGACACATGACAGGGAAAAGTTCCGAAAAGAAACCAACATAATTACCGTAGATTTGCAAGCAGGACAGAAACAGAGCATGAAAGCGGACGGGTTTCATTGACACCTGTCGTCCAACCCTATCAGCCAAGCTGTCGTGCCTGATCCGTGCCCATCTCGAGCCTGTCGAGCTGTCGTTGCGAACAGGCAGATCCTTGGAGCTATGAGCTGCTCGGGCGATTGAGTGCGGTGCGCCGGAGGTGATTGATTAACGAACAAGCCCGGCAACGAGCCGAGAACAGATCCATGTTTATCTTCCTTTCCTTTCGGATGTTGTTCAACCTATGGGGCAAGAGATGGAGGACCTCCCGAAAGTCCTCCCTCTTACATGAGAAAAACTGGATGGGTTTGGAGCTTTATGTATTTGCACGATTGTACACCTGTACATACCATATTGACCTCTATGTTTGGCTCAAGAAAAGGGCGCTCTACATGTTGGTACTTGTAGGCTGTTGGCCTGTAAATTCAGGTTATCAGCCGTATCGCCAAAGAGCGGTACGCGCCATTCTAGCTGTGTCACCTACCCACCCTCGTTCTGCGCACACGTGAGGTGGCATGGCGGACAGGCCCTTCGAACCAATTCGAGATGGCACGGATCGATCGAGGTCAAGAGTCGGTGATGCCGATGAGAATGGATCATATGTACAGACGGAAGTCTTCACCTCAGAGCATGATGAGGATGCATTGGTTGAAGCACATGGGAACGTGTTGCCACCAGCTACATCGACTGGTGCGATTATCCTGTCTCCCACGAGCCCTGCCTTTGTTCCGTCGAGTACATACAATGATTCGAGACAAGTCATTAACCAAACGGCGAACTTCCACGATCAAAGAATGATCAACGTCAACCTGGACAAGTCCGCTGAAGTCGCACAACTTGCAGAAGCGCGACACAGGGAACTGATGTCCAAGAAAGATGAAGAAGTGAAAAAGACAGTGGAAGCCATTCACCGAGAGGCACACGACCATGTCAAGGAGCAACTCGAGTTACAAGAACGAAGAGCTGCATCTTGGGCTGCAAACGAGCAAGCTAAGATGAATGCACATGAAGCAGTCATCAAGAATGCTGCGTTGACTGAAGCTCAACTATACAACCACAACTTGACAGAATTACAACAACAAGCGCAGAGTCGTGAATCACAGCTGAGGGAAGAGTTGAGAACACAAACAGAGCTCATTAGAGAACTTCGAGAGAAAATGGAAACATCCGCTCGAGGGAACTATGAGCCTGCTGGAACACCGGCTAACCTCAGGACAACTCTTCCAGGCCCAATGGGTTCAAACGAGCTACCTCTTGGTCAACCATATCGACCAATGCAGAAATCAATGACTGATAGTTCCGGCGAACCCTACCGTGATGCTCTTGCGAGTGGAGCGGTCAATGCCCCGAAGGTAGCTGGAGGTGGTCCTCCAGATCATCCCAGTTCATCAAGTTCGTCTACATCCGATGACAAGAAGAAGAGCAAGAAAGACAAAAAGAAGAAGAAGAAAGATGACAAGGAAGAGAAGCGTGGCAGATCACCCCGCAAAAAGAACAAAAAGAAAAACAAAAAGGGGTCACCTTCACCGTCCGAGTCACCTTCATCATCGAGCTCATCTTCTGAGGATTCATCCTTTGCCCGTAAGGTTAGGAAGCATTTGAAGAAGATGAAGAAAGAGGATCGTGAACAGAGGGCCAAAGAGGCCGAAAAGATCCTCATTCCCAAGTTTCCCACACCTGAAAGGTATAGAGATTGGCGAATTAAAGTTCGGGACAATGTGTCAGCGGCGTCCGCTAAGCCGGACAAGGCCAGGTTATGGCTAGGTAAGGTTTATGAAGACGCCGTGACCACTAAGGACCTGGATGACTCTGAGGGTTTCATCACGCTGGATGCAAAACTTCTCTCAAGTCTCACGAACTGTGCGGAGGGGGACCTTGCTCGCCAACTGAACACGTTTAAGGAGACCAAAGAGAAAGCAAAAGAACCGATAAAGGGACGACAAATCCTACTGTTGTTCCATGAGTACTTTGCTACCTCTATCAAACACGGTGCTATTTACGATGTTGAAGATCTTATATGTGTTAAGATGGTGAACGAGGACCTGAAAGGTTTTGTTACGCGATGGGAGTCTGTTATCGCGGGGATGCGAACGGAAGTTGACAAGAAATGGCTTGAGGCATATTTTCATCTTGCTGTGAAGAACTTTAAGCCTTTAGCTCATGATCTTGCCATCTACGAACGCGCCTCGGAAGGGAGTGCCGAAAAGACTTATGATTTTTTGATCAAGTCAGCCAAGGCATACCTTGAAAGGAAACGTCTAGAAAAGATGAGGGATGCCACGAAGCGTAGTCTTGGAGGTAAAGACCCTGCAGCTCCTGTCATTGACCCAAGTGACAAAAAGCCGAAAGGTGTTTGCTATGAGTTTCAGAACAAAGGAAAGTGCAGTAGGCGCGACTGCCCATTCAAACATGAGAAACCCCGTGAATCCAGCAAAGGGAGGCCCAAAGGTGGTGGAAAGGGTAGATCTTCTTCTTCACGTGGAAGGTCGTTGACTCCGGGATCAAGATCGGAAGTTTGCAAGTTTTGGAAATCTGGTGACTGTCACCGGGGAAAGAATTGTGCTTTCAAACATCCCGATCGTTCTTCTACACCCGCACCAAGTGACGACCGCAAGAAACGAAAGAAGAAGAAGAAGGAGAAAAGAGAGAAGAAGAAACGAAGTACTTCTCGTGGCTCCAACGGTTCTGGCGGTAGTCAGAAATCCAAAGGTGGGAAAAGTGCTCCTTCTAACCCAGCCGCTGTTTGCCTGCTGCGCACTCTGGTCTTAGCTACTGCGGTCTCATCATCACAGTCTGCTACTATCAGATGCCCGTTGGAAAGCGTGGCCATGGTTGCTACACCTGCCACCAGTTCTTCCCCATCATCTTCGTCAGGACGGGGAAAAGTGAAACGTCTTTCTTTTGCTGACAAACCAGAAGTTTTTAAACACGTGGTTCATTGCAATTCTTTAATGTTTCCAGTTGTTGCGCGAAAACAAAGAAAGCATGTCAGTTTCCCAATAGGCCACAAAGGAAACGCTGAAGTTTTGGAAATGGCATCTGAAGATGCATGCATTGCAGCAGACCGTTTGAGTAGAGCTGTTTCAAACGAGTTGAATGGCATCGAGGCACGATGTTGCTATCTTTGCGATTCGGAAATGGGATGCAAGCATTGTTTTAAGAATCAACGGGTCACAATGCCTGCGACCGAGATCGCATGGATTGCAGATACTGGCAGTGCGAATGATTTGGTGTCTAGGGAAATGGTCAATCGCAACGAAGTGTTCGAATCCTCGAAACCGGTTAGTCTTCTTACAGCTAACGGAGTGTTCCAGGCTAATGATCAGGCTAATCTTGATATTCCCTTGTTGGGAATCACTGCAAAACCATATGTACTTGATGATAGTCCGGCAGTGATATCCGTGGGACAATTATGTATTGATCATGATTGGTCGTTCATTTGGCCGTCAAATGACACACCATACTTCAAAAAGCCAAATGGGCAGAGGATCAAGCTTCAAGTGAAGGACTATGTTCCTTATTTACCATCAACCAGTGGTATGGCTATGACTGCTATCGGGCACAAGTATGAAGAACATGCTTCCGGGAACGGCAAGTCTTCGTACATTCCGATCCCTACTTCGCCTAGCGTAGAGGAAGCACCCCATGAGTCTGCGGAAACAGAACCCGAAGCAGTCGATGCCAGGTTAGTCCCCGATCCACCAGCGGAAAAGCGTGATCGTGGTGAACAAGCCTTGAGGCGGGAAGCAAAGTCGCTTGCACATTTATTGACACATGTTCCCAAGAACCCTTTTTGTACGACATGTTCAAGGGCTAAGATGACTAAGCCACCATCGTACAAGAAGGGAGGATCTGAAACTGTTGATGCTGACATGGCGATCACATCACTGCTGATCATCTTATTCTTCGGGATGACGAAGAAGAGGCTATCGATGGTTCAAGAAACGCTCTAGTCGTTAAGGACATAGCTACGGACTTTAGATATGTATATCCGTCGGCTAGGAAAACGACTAGAGATTGTGTTCTTGCATTGAAGCACTTCACCCGGGGACGGGATGACATTGGTGTGTTCTATTCAGACAATGCAGAAGAGCTTGTCAAGGCAGCATCAGAATTGGAATGGAGACACGTTACAAGTGTTCCGTATATCTCCAAGAGTAATGCTCAAGCAGAGAGGAGTATTCGATCCGTTCTTGATGGAACTCGTATCAACCTTGAACAAGCGGGTTTGCACCATACATACTGGACGCATGCCGCCAGACATTGTTGCATGGCGCACAACATACTCGGTGATCAAGAGGCTCAAACGCCATGGCAACTCAGGTTCGATGAGAAGTTCAAGGGACCAATGATTCCTTTTGGAGTGAGGATTGACTATTGGACCGGACCAAAAACCAAAACCAAAGAAAAATTGAAATTCGATCCTACCTCACTACCAGGAGTGTTTTTGGGATACAAGATTCACCCTGAATTCTCATGGAGAAAAGAGTTTCTTGTTCTCCCTCTTAAAGAGGTGATGGACAATAACTTTGATAGTAGTGTGCCATGAGTTGGAACGAACAAACTCGCATTGCCTGACGGAGATTTTGTGTTTCCATTGAAGGACAGGTATAATGCTATCCGTGAGGGTCGCATTCCATGCTACATGATATCGGACGATCCTCCAAAGCCTGAAGACGAGGATGCTAAACCGGTGGAGGAGTTGATTGACAAAGGTCCGATGGAAAGTGGCAAAGCACTCAAGGTCCCTTCGACTGATGGAATGGTTGATCATTCAAAGAAGGATGCATTTGAAAGTGGGATTTATGATCCCGGTGAAGATGAAGAGGGCAAAGGAGGTTCCTCATCATCCTCATCCGGTAAGCCCAAAGATCCAACAAAGGATCCTTTCGAAGGCGTTCCACCTGAAGACATGGTTGAGGTTGTTGATCCTGTTACAGGTGAGGTGACCTCAATCCCAAAAGAGGGGTCATCATTCTACAGCGCGGGGGGATATAAAACTAGGAAATACAAAGGCACTTCCAAACCACCGGATGTTCCATCCTTTCTTTGGAAGGCCGCTTCGAAGGCAGCTCGTGAAAAGGAGATTAGAAGATACGAACTCGAAGAAGCGAGAAAGAAGTTCAA